ATACGTCTAAACTACATACCCTCTTTCAAAAGAGGGATGTAAATTAGACATATTGAAATTGCAAATGAAGCTGGGATTTGAATTTCCCGCACTTCATTTGCATAATCGCATCAGTGTTCTTTTGAAAAACGCTATTTTGAAAGGTAAACTGCGGTCTAGACGCAGTTCTTTTCAAAAGAAAAGCCTTTTTCAAAAGATCCTGTAAACACTTGAGAGGGTTGCTACAGTCTCTAGGGAGTCCATCCCTTCCCTCACCCCCAGGGCCAGTTACCATCTGCTGTATTGGTACTTTTGCTGTATGCCTTTGAATACTTTTATGTTCCCTAAGTCTATGCAGCTTCTAGCTGCCACTCAGTAAGGGCATGTCCACACTACAAAATTACATTGACCTAGGTGACATCCACATAGTCATCATATAATTAAAACATTTCTGCATGTCCACACTCTGCTCCTTGTGGGGGGAGCTCAGGGCAAGAGGCTAGGAATATGGGGCGGAATCAGGAGTCAAGTGGGGGTGAGGAGCAGCTCAGGACAGTGGACTAAGGACATGGGGGTGCAAGAGTCTGGGTTGGGGTTAAGCAGGAGCTCAGGATAGGGGGTGGGGGCAGCTCCCCAGGGCCGACCCAGGGTGGAAGAAGCAGCACATAGCCCACCTGCTGACTTTTCCCCAAGGCAGGCTGGAGTGGCAGAGGGGATGCTGCCAGCCAGTGGCTGGGGCACTTTCTGCCCACCCGTGATCATTTAGGAGTATAACTGTCTCCCATGCTTGTGGTCATTTGTGAGTATAATAGTCCCATTCTGTTTGATGCAAAATAATTGGATTCCAGGCACATTCTGTTATCCTGGAAACCAAACCCTGACCTTGCTTTAAGGTACAATCAGAGGAAACTGCATCCCAAATTTGGTGGTCCTAGCTCTTGTTTGGGAGGCATTCTTGAACAAATGGAGTCAAACACATTTCTAAAATATATAGTAACATTTGCCTTTTATATGCTGAACACAAAACATTAAAAAATAGCTTCAAATCAGCAAATTTTAAAGTATGATATGAAAAGACCACTTACCAAGAGTCAGGCAAACAATAAGTCTTGCTGTAATATCACAAGCATCTTTAGGTAATTGATTTCAAATAGAAGGGCCTTGGTACAGCTAAAATTCAGTAGACAAAGTTCAGGAATATTTAGCTAGTCTTCTTATTAATTCTTAAGCAGTCTATGATTGTCTTTTCCTCTTGCAGATGTGCACAGTACATCTCTTTGAATGTGTCCCAATTCAGATAAGGGTAGAATTCAACATCCCAACGCAGTGGCACTAAATTCTTAGGGAAGTATTTTCTTTAGCCTAGAGGGCAGCATGACTTAAGTCTCCAAAACGGCTTAAGTGATGCACTGGTTGTATGGTGACTCTCTGAATGGGGTGAATTTCACCCTCAACCTCTAATACTATTAGCTTGTTGTGTACCTCTTAACTCTTTTGCATCAGTCTCCCCACTTGAAAAAACAAACAAAACAAAAACCACCCACAAACCAAGAGCAACAATACCCATCTGTTAAAAAACACGATGAGCCCATGGAGGATTTTCTGTATAGCATTCAAAGCTTTATTTTTTTAAATTCATGCAGGTTCCATAAGGTACCTAATCATGTAAATAGGGTAATTCTAGACAGTTGAAAAAATTCTGTAAAAAACATACCACACTTCGTTTGTTAAGCCCCCGCATTTAGATTTCCATGGTCTCCTACAAGAAAGAGCTTCACATGAAAAGGAGATGTGTGCAGACCAGGCCTTCTATTTAGAGTCTGGAAAAAAGCTGATATATTGAAAGCAAATGGGCACATTGTGAAATGACTCAACAAATGATTTATGCTGACTAGCCCTTTATCATTGTCTACTACTGCTCACTGGGTTGAGGCTGTAATGGTGAAAGATATCCAATAATAGTCAATTTTAGAAGAGGTGCAGAAGTATCCAGGCTTTTAGTCAAAGAAGTATGCAATAAAATCTTAAATGCAAATGACACCTTGATTTCTCTCTCTCCCAGAATTCCACAGGATTACACAACATCACCACTTATAAAGGCACATATACAAATCCATGGGTAGCTGCTTTATCTATGTGTATCTACTGGACCTGGGGCTTAGTGTAGGAACCTCTAGTGTTTGAGCTAGAAGCCAGCTGGCTCTCAGCTTAGGCTGTAGAGCTCACTTGTTCTTCTTTCTTGCTCTAAGTGGCCTACATGGCACTGCAAGGGACAACAAGCAGGTGTGTGGGTTACATATGGATCTCTTCTTTATATCCATGGATAATGTTTGCAGATGTGGACGCAGATACTGATTTTCCATCCATGCTGGGCTCTACTCGTAACAAGCCTAAATTATTCCCCATACATTTTATTCCCTATAGGATTTTTTTCATTTGCCCAGACCTGAAGAAATAAGCTAACATGATCTCCTCTCAGCCCAGAAAACCTAATATTTGGTGACCAGGCCCTCTTGTGCACATTAATTTTTCTTGACGCATTCCCTTTTCAACTCATTCATATGTATAAATTGTCCTTCAGGCTTACTTAAAAGCCATCCATACAAACTAAATAGCACCCAGTTATTTAAAGGTGAAACATGCAGAGTCCTTCCAAACCTATTACACTGTTATTTTGTAGTTAAGATTTTTGTCATAAGGTTCCAGGCACTCTCCTGGTCAGGCTATTTGCCACCAGGTGTGCCTCAGTGGACATTCTGGGTGTGTTTACAGAGCAAAGTTATTTCGGAATAATGGCCGTTATTCTGAAATAACTATGCGAGCGTCTACACGGAAATTCCGTTATTTTGAAATAATGGAAATAATAGATGGCTTATTCCGACTTCTGTAAACCTCATTCTACGAGGAATAACGCCTATTCCAAAATGTCTATTTGAAAATAAGGTGTGTTTAGCTGCTCCACTGCTGCTATTTTGAATTAGCCTCTTGCCAGGGCCATTCTAATTATTCCTCCTGGGGCTCTAAATCGAGATAGCACATCTGCATTAGGGATGTCTGCCTCGGACTAATTTTGAGGCTTCCTTGCAGTGTAGACGTTCTATTTCAAAATAAGCTATTTTCGAATAACTATTCTGGAATAGCTTATTCTGAAATAACTGTGCAGTGTAGACATAGCATCTTGCACAAACTCTGTTGGCTGCACTGATTGGAAGTCATATTAACAGGAACACAACAACACACAATTCAGAATGGGAGCCTTAGAAATAATCTTTCCACTAATACAGTAAAACTCCATTAGTCCGGCATCTAATGGTCCGGCACCATCAGGAACCCCGAAGTTCTCCGGCTGCCGGACAATTGGAGCTGCTCTGTGCCTGGCTTCCCCGATTCAGCCGCTGACCAGCTGAAACTGATCCAGGGACTCCAGGAAGCCCGGGACCAGCAGCGGCTGAATCGGGGACGCCTGGGGCAGAGCCGGACTATCGGAAGGGGGGGCTATGAGGGGTCTGGGGTGGCATCCCCCCAACCCCACCCCAGACCCCTCATAGCCCCTCTTCCGATAGTCTGGCATATTTGATAATCCGGCACCTCCTGGGTCCTAAAGGTGCCAGATTATCGGACGGTTTTCCGATAGTCTGGCATATTTGATAATCCAGCACCCCCTGGGTCCTAAAGGTGCCGGATTATCAGAAGTTTACTGTACTAGGAACCTAATCTGAATTCCTTTGCATTGGATGGCTGTTTCCATTCAAGGGGGAAAGCAGACATTTATGCGTGACAGCAAACACATTGATCATGATATGTAATCTTTTTACGTGGTACAAATTCCGATTGAAGACTACAGCATTTTCATTTAGAAAGCTTAAGCACCTATCCAAAAGTAAGTAAATCTGAGATTTACACAGTATAAAAATGCATCTTTGTATAGACCAGTCACTTTTCAATATATTTCTTTTTTTTCCCCCTGGGGGCTTGCTAAGGATAAGTGATTTGGGCATTCTATAATCTTAACAGTAACTGGAAAACCAACATGAATTACCAAGAAAAACTAATGATCTGTTTTGAAAAAAGTTTCTATGATGCTAAAAACTAGGAACTTTTTCTGTTTATGAAACAAAACATTCCAGCACAATTTATTTTGTACATAGACATTCTTCATTTGTTATAGATTATGCAAGAAGCAGCAGGCAATCACATCCCACAAACACATTACACGAAGTAATTTTAGTCACGGGGTAGAGACCTTTCTCATTTAAAAACCAGGGTCCTACTGAGAACTATTGCCCTTGGAGGAAGTTTGGTGTAATTGATAAAAAGCACAGACTAGGAATTAGGAGATTAGGTTCTAGTCTTGACCCTGCCACAGGTTTTTGTATGCACTTGAACCAGTGTACAACCACTGTTCCTCCATCCCATCTGTAAAATGGAAATACTACTCATCTACTTCATAAAAAAAGCTACTTCATAAAGTTACCAAAGTTTAATTTGTTAATGCTGGGAAAAATGCTTATATAGTAGGTTCTATAGAAGTGCCAGGGCCAGGAACTGCTTCCCTTAATTTGACACTTTATCCACTCTGCAAGGAATGTATCCTCCACAAAAGTTTCACTACACCTTCTAGAAGCATTTATGAAGTTCCTAAATATGCTCCCACATCAAGGTCTGAATTCTTAGAATAATGCTAGCAACACAATCTGCTATGACTCTAATCTCTTCTCCCATGTGGAACCAGATTGTTGTTACTATTTTTTCTTTTGCTTGGGAATGGTTGCATATGGTGAGAGATCTGCAACGTTTATCAAACCATTGATGTTGCATCTGTTGCTTTTCCTTTCTCCTTCTAGAATGTTTTTTCACTCTCTCTTCTATGTGAGAAGATATAGGACAGATAACCTGTTATACATTGTGTGGCACATTGCATAAATAATGATTCTTTTAGAAAAGGTCAGACGGGCAAGAAAAGCAAGTTTTTTGATTGGAAAGTTTGAAACGTGCACCATAAGTTTTGAGAACAAAATATTTTATTTCTGTCAATAAAACTATAGTTTACAGTAGTATTTACTAAATAAATTATATAATTTCTCTTTTACAAGCAATAAACTAAATCACACATTTCAAAGACAATTTATGTACACAACATAAGGCCTTGTTATAAATAGCTTTTTCTCATTTCACTAATAAACAGTGAAAATATCTTTAAAGGCTATTGTCCATAAAGTAAGTGCAGACATTTACATTATTCCTGTATGAAATCAATTTGGACTTCCAACAATATGGACCTACATGATTATGATTCAGGAGTAAGGAAAAAAAAGTGGAATTAATTTGCCACTCTTGTTGATGATGGATCTTTAAATAGGTAAAGCAGATTACATACTTTGCTTGTACACAATCACTGAATACATGCAAATGAAATCATGAGAGTCATTAGGAAAATATATCACTTTCAAGTCCAAAAAACGGTGATTGGCAATAGTATAGAAAGCATCTTAAATACAGTTTATGCAGTTCTTCACAGTTTAGCAAGCAACAGCACATGATAGCAACATGAGGAATGTTTCATGTCACATTTGTCGAGTCTAGCTATCACTTCCATTGTTCAACGGTCCCCTGACATTTCTTAGAGATAAGTTCCATTGATTATTACTCTTTGTCTATTAGGCTCAGCAAATTCCTCCCTTTCATCAGGAGTGCAGAAAGTGCTCTTCAGCAGCTACGGTCACTTCGAATCCGCTTTTACTTGACTTTCTTCCATTCTCTTATTACTGGAAACAGAAAATAATTTAAGAGGTCAGGAGGGTTTGTTTCTTTATTCTGCACTTTATAAAATCATAATTGAATAACATTTTTATCTGCGACCAAAAGCACTCCTGTAGTTACACCCTACACATTATTGTAATAATCTTTATGTCAAATATGCCTTGTGAAGTATCATTTTAAAACTAATAATCCACTGATCAACAATATTACTGCATAATGTATGCACAAAATGTGTATGAAGGATTAACAACAAATGAAATTATAGCAGCATTTGCCAGACAATCTGAGCATGGGGGTAAACTTGTTTCTCAAAGACAAAAGACAAGTTTATGCATCTAGCCAGGTGTCAAAGTTGGTTAGTAATCTCTGGTCAAGCGAGCATTCTCTGGCAATGAAGGGGGGCAGGAATAGATCTATATACATTTTAGCAAACAACATTTAACCTCTAACCATGAGACACTCAAGTCCATCTAAGGAAATGGGTTTTGCCCACAAAAGCTCATGATATAATATAAACAGAGCTGGCCTGAAAGCCAGGTAATATGGGACCAGGCCCTGGAGGGGTGCACGGCAAAGGGCTCTGACCCCACCCCTCCGGCTCCTTTTTCCTGCCAGCAGGCAAGCATTTCTCCACCTGATCCATCCAGCTCCCTCCCTGCTGGCCAGCTGGGCGCTCCAGTTCCAACATGTTCCAGCTGGCTGACAAGGCAGAGCAGAATACCGCAAGCTTCCCTCCCCCATGCTCCAACCAGGCAAGGGAAGGCTGGGGCTAACTGATTTCCCCTTTCCCCATGAGCAAGGCTGGGATCAGCTGATCCTAGGTGGAAGCATGACTCTGCTCTATTGCCCACTTCATTTGCTATTAGAGTGAGGAAGTAGCAGTTGCAGCTGCTGAGCCCTTAAAGGCAGAGGGGAGAGTGCCTGATCCCCCACTGACTGAACCCAACCCCTGAACTAGGCAGCCCTGCTGCCTACCCTTCCCCCAGTCTCTAGTGGGTTGTGGCTCAGGGGGCATAGCCCAGGCCATGTCTAGTTTCCAGAGATAGCAGGGGTCATGGGAAATGCATCTCAAGTAAGTGCCTGTGTCCAGCTGTTTGCAAGACCCTCAGTAGCACTTTCGGCAGGTTTTTTCCTTCTCTCCTCCAGCCTGTGTATGTCTGGTCCGTCACACTAGGGCATGTAGCTGGAGATAGCCTTGTGCCTGGGTTTGTCTTTTCTTGTCTCCTTCCCCCTTTCTCCCCCAGCTCCCATGCCCCAAGAGGGAGCTGGATTTATTTCTGTGGCTTCTTGTTGCCCAAAATTGCCCCACTTCCATGCAGTGTCTTTCCTTTTATGTGAAAAGTCTGGTGGTGGTACCAGGCCTGTCTTGCTATTTTTCAATAATAATAAATAATAATAATAATAATAATAATAATAATAAAAAAAAAAGCCCAAAACTCTCTTCTTAGTTGCAGTTAATGAAACAAAGACCATATGGGGGTAGGGAGGACTGATTCTAAAGAGATTAAAGGTGAATCAAACCCTTAGGCTACGTCTACATTGGCAAAATTTTGCGCAAATACTTTTAACGCAAGAGGTTTTGCGTTAAAGTATTTGTGCAAGAGAGCATCTACACTAGCGTGTGCTTTTGCACAAGAGATGTGCTTTTGCGCAAAAGCATCCGTGCCAGTGTAGACGCTCTCTTGCGCAAGAAAGCTCTGATGGCCATTTTAGCCATCAGGCTTTCTTGCTCAAGAAATTCATGTTGCCTGTCTACACTGGCCTCTTGCAAGAGGGCTTATTCCTGAGCGGGAGCATCATAGTTCTTGCGCAAGAAGCACTGATTTCACACATTAGAACGTCAGCGTTCTTGCGCAAGAACTCCCCGCCAGTGTAGACAGGCAGCAAGTTTTTGCTCAAAAGCGGCCGCCTTTTTTGGCATTTGTGAATTATGGGGCCTCTAACATAAGAGAAACATACTAACACCCTCTCAGGAGTAAAAGCATGTTGCAGTTACACTTGGGTAGACAATTGTGTTGGTAGGGCTTTTTGAAGTAACTGATAAGTTTTATTGATGTGTAACCTGAAGGTAAACATGTATAAATCTAACCCCAACAAAGCAAGTGACTATAGCAATTTTTCAATGCAATTTTTTTCCCCCTCATGTAACTTAACCCGCATGAACACTGAACAAGTAAAAGCTAAACTCTAAGGCTACGTCTACACTGGCATGATTTTCCGAAAATGCTTTTAACGGAAAACTTTTCCGTTAAAAGCATTTTCGGAAAATCATGCCAGTGTAGACGTAGCCTTAGAGTTTAGCTTTTACTTGTTCAGTGTTCATGCGGGTTAAGTTACATGAGGGGGAAAAAAATTGCATTGAAAAATTGCTATAGTCACTTGCTTTGTTGGGGTTAGATTTATACATGTTTACCTTCAGGTTACACATCAATAAAACTTATCAGTTACTTCAAAAAGCCCTACCAACACAATTGTCTACCCAAGTGTAACTGCAACATGCTTTTACTCCTGAGAGGGTGTTAGTATGTTTCTCTTATGTTAGAGGCCCCATAATTCACAAATGCCACAAAATCCAGATTTTTTTCCTCCTCTATTTGGGAGTGTCTCATTTCTTTAATTGCTGTATTTATAACAAATGGATATGTTTTTAAATGTGTTTTTTGTGGGAAGCACTTAGCATGCATTTCAGATGGGATGTGGATATTGTTCTTGTACTGGCAGGAGAAAGTTATGATTTATTTATGGTTAATTTTTACAAGCACATCATATGCAGCTGTTGTGAAATTAACGCAGTGAGCTATTGCTTCTAAAGACAGCTTACTGGCCACACCTATAGAGTTTTTAAATTAACCACTTCAGTACAGCTCTATCTTTTGCTAAGCCTTTTCCATTATTAGTCAGTACACAGATATACAACATGTATCCACATTAGTACCATTTCCTTGTGCAAATGTTGTATGCACTAAGGCAACTAAAGGAAAATATTTGATTATGTTTTATGCTCCAGGTACACAACCCTTCCCCCTTTTGTTTTAGTGTCAATTTCTTGTTGACAGGAATATTGACACTAAAACAAAGTGGGAAGGGGGGGTGTATATGTGGAGCAGAAAAGCAGCAATCAGGGTTGTGTAATGCAAGGGAGGGAACAACCTGTTCTCATTCTAAGCAGGAAGATGGATTTGCTTTTGAACCCATTTATTTGGGGCAAAGGGACAGTTCTTTTTCTTTTGGATGGTGCCTGATGGCTACTTTTCTTGCCCAACTGCCCCTTCCAAGCATCTTGTTTCATTTCAGGTTGAGGGGGAAATGAAAAAAGTTATTTATCTTGATTTTTATTATCACCATTTTTAACGTTAATACCTTTATACTAATACTCCTTAAAACAAACTCTCTTTGTAGTTAAATAAACTTGTTTAAATTTTAATCTAAACTAATCCACTGTTGTCTTTGAACTGTTTGGTAACTCCAGGTAAAGTAGCAAACTGTTGAATACTGACCCGTTACAGAACAGACTTGATATCTGGACTGTCTAGGAGAGGGCTGGACTGTGCAAAACAGATTTTTGGGAAAACTTGGGACTCAGAGTGTGTCAGCCCTGCAAGTAATAACCAATTTTGTTGGAATCTACTTTGACTAACGGCAGACTGCTGGTATCATTGTGGCTGAACCAGGGCTTCAGTCATACACAGACCTGCACAACGTTAGGCTCTTTGTTAGCAGCCCTAGTTGGGATCTACGACAACAAAGAAACCCAGTGTTGCAAGGCAGATGGCGAGACACCCTTTCACTGGTCTGGATTGGACCCTGGAATAGGGGGATGGCGCACACTTTCTACATCTGCACTTCAGTAACTTGCAGTATAGCTCTGCAGTGATCCTCTTTTTTAAAATTCACATGTATAGTATTATCTCCCTTGTAAAATAATATACTTTGAAGCCATTACATTTATGTCTATAAATACTGATACACTGAATACATAAAACCAGAATTTGCTCTTGAGAGATACTGGAAAAACAGGATATTACTGAAGTCAATGAAAATTAAGGACATAAGCCATTCACAGGAGACATTTATTACCTTCTATGACTGATCAGGGCCTTAGAATTCATAAGGGACAAAATCCTAGTCTCACTGAAGTGAACTACATAACTTCCAAGATTTGGGCCTTAGAAAATGAAACTGAATATACCTTCCTGCAGGTGTAGGTTTTCTTATGGAACTGTGAAGTCTCATGATTAATTTGTAAATAAAGCTACAAAAATTCATAATATTACTCATGAAGAGAACAGTTGACAAATATTTTAAAAACCACAGAATTACTGGAAAAACACAATCGTACCACAAATTTTATTTTCAATATTTCTGTAGGATCATGTGTCTATGTTGGGCACTTAAGGTAAAATGGATTCCCAACAAAATTCTAGAAAGCCAGAAAAGATCTTAATTGACATCACTAGAATTTAAGTGAAAAAAGCCCCAGACCAATTCAGACTTGACTTTCAGTCTGAATCCTCCTTTGTACATTAAAAAAAAGCGCATACAGAAGGCACAAAAGCCTCATCTTTTTAGGTCACTTAACTTTAGTTCTAAAGATAAAGATATTTAATTAACCTTCAAACTATTCAAGAAGAGACTCTAACCTTAGCAGCATAGAAAAATGTGAGCTCCTCTGGCATTTTGAAAAGCTTACGTGGGAAAAGGCAACTGATAGAAATCATAGCCAAAATGCTAATTAAAAATAATATACCTGGCACCAGGCATATGCACCAAATTATGTTACACTATTGCAAGCTTACAGAACTGCGATTGTACACTGGAAAATGGTACAGGCAGGATATTGTAATCAGTTGCTTAGTGAGCAGGCTGAAGCAGATATGTCCTCATCCTCAGTATGCAGACATAACATCCCGGTCATGGCAGATTATGTTACTATATTTGGGGCATGGGTTCAGTATGCAAAACTATTTAGTGGGTCAAAAATATTTTGCAGGAAGTCAGAACTAAA